GGCCATCAGCACCCAGGTGGAGGGTCACCTGGGGAAGGTATGTGGTGAGAAGGGACCAGGTCAGAGGCTGGTGGGGGCCATGTTGGCTTGGGAAAGGGTGGGCAAAAAAGGAGCTTGCAAAGGAGACACAAGCAGTAGGGAATGGGGTCACTGGAGCCAAGCAGTGCCTCCAGAAGGTCGGCGAGAGGGCAGACAGGATAAGGCCATCAAACTTTCAATGGAACAAGCTGTGACCTCGGCAAAAACAGTGGGTCATCAGAGCTGGGCTGCAGTGGCTCAAAAGCATAGAGTGGGGAGGAGGTGTGGACGGTCCTCTCCAGATCCGGGCTGTGCAGGAAAGAGGGGCAGCAGAGCTGGCCCAGTTTGGGCCCACGGAGGTTTGGGGCTGGTAGATTTGTGATGGGAAGAGAGCTGGGCTTGTGTCTGTGGTGGTGGAAGGGGCTAGGAGAGGGAGGCGGTGACATTGCTGGGAAGCTATGGGAGAGGACGGTGGATGGGGTGGGCCCTGGCACCGCAGGAGGAGCTGGACCTGAAGCCCGGCAGGTCCGCCTCAGGCTTGGGGAGGTCCACACTGATGGACAGCTGCCATAGGCCTGTCCCTGGGCTGAACCCTTTGGGAACCTCAAAGCTGGGCAAACCTCGGTCCTGGCCTTCAAGGAGCAGAGGAGCCACAGGTTCCAGGTCGTTGAACCAGGACTGCCCTCGTTCAAGTCTTGGGTCTTCAGCAGCCGTCCTCCTCAAGCTCTCTGAGATGTCCAGCTACAGGCCCCTCCTCCTCTGAACCCTCTCCTCTTGGCTAAGCCACAGTTCTCTCCCAGTTTCCTGCATCTCTGACCTTTCTCTTTTTGAGGGCAGGGTTTGGGGTGCCATTTGTTCTGCCCACCCTTGCATTTGGGTGCCACCCAAGCCTCTGCCCTCGGCACCACCCCCTTCTGTCTTGTGGGGTCATCCTCCTCACAAATCTACACATCCCTTCTGAGTCCCACTGATTTCTAACTGTGACACAAGGATGTTTCTTCATGTCTTCCTCATGGGCATCTCATACTCAATGCTTAAGGACTAGGATCCTTCATCACTTCCCCCCAAGCTTGGGGGTGGTGCCACTAGAGCCAAGTTGAAACTTCTGGATTTTGGTTTCTCCTTCATTCTGACCCCTGCCCCATCGAAATGGCCACCGAGGCCTGTGGAGCCTATGCCCGGAAGGCATCTCAAATCCCTGTTCTAGAACACGAGCCTAGGCCTGGATTCATTCTCTCCTACTCCAGGTCATTCCCATGGCCAGGGAATATCCTCTCTTGGAGACTTTATATTTCTCTTTAAGGCTTTTATCAAGCCCAGACTTAGCGTGGTGTTCAAGGCCAATGGTGATCCAGCCTGCCTTTCCTCCAGGCCCATCTCCTCTCCGCAACCAAATACTGCAGGCTGTCAACACTCTGACATTGCTCCAGGGGTGCCTACCGAAGTCCTCCCTTCTCTCCTGTCCTCCATCTCTCCTGTCCTCCCTTCTCTCCTGTCCTCCATCTCTCCTATCCTCCATCTCCCCTGTCCTCCATCTTTCCTGTCCTCCATCTCCCCTGTCCTCCATCTCCCCTGTCCTCCATCTCTCCTGTCCTCCATCTCTCCTGTCCTCCCTTCTCTCCTGTCCTCCATCTCTCCTGTCCTCCCTTCTCTCCTGTCCTCCATCTCTCCTATCCTCCATCTCCCCTGTCCTCCATCTCCCCTGTCCTCCATCTCCCCTGTCCTCCATCTCCCCTGTCCATTTCTCCTGTCCTCCATCTCTCCTGTCCTCCATCTCCCCTGTCCTCCATCTCCCCTGTCCATTTCTCCTGTCCTCCATCTCCCCTGTCCATTTCTCCTGTCCTCCATCTCCCCTGTCCATTTCTCCTGTCCTCCATTTCTCCTGTCCTCCCTTCTCTCCTGTCCTCCCTTCTCTCCCGTCCTTCATCTCTCCTGTCCTCCATCTCTCCTGTCATCCCTGGCCTCACCCAACCCAGGCTCCTCCCTCGTGCTCCGCAGCAGGCTGCACTCCCTCCCTGATGTGACAAGGTGCTGCACGTGGTTGTGTATACCCCACCCCAAGTCAAGGCACCACCCTTGAAGGCTCAGAGTCCTCTCTCTCCCTCCTTCCCTTCCTATCACTCTCTCTCTCTCTCTCCATTTGGAAAGACCATGTACCATTTAAGCTTGATGTGGAGGAGGAAATGAAGGGGTCTGAGAGCAGCTGGGGCAGACGGACCCTGGCACCTGCTTCTAGGTTGGCTGGCACGCAGGCACGGTAGACACAGAGTGGCTGTGCTGTGTGGGGATCAGCAGGCTGAAGGCTAGGCTGAAGGACACCATTGTGGGTGTTGGCAGGAGGGGAGCAAGTGCCATGGACCCGACGAGCAGGGCCAGGTGGAGGCTAGTGTCCAGGAGGTGGCAGGGCCTCCAGTGCAAAGGGGAGACCAAGCCGCCCTCACTCTGTCTTCTCCTAGCTGGGAAAGGGGCCTCTATCTCAGCCGTCTTCCCCAGCCACCAGGTCCCAGGGGCATGGAGGGACATGGGAATTAAGAACCAGGTGTGAGCAACTGGTTTTGGTCCTGGAGATCTGCCACGTGAGGATGAGCCGCTGTCACTTGGAGGCAGGTGCCTCGTGCTTGGCCACAGAGTGCCCTTCCTAAGAGAAAGAGTCATTTCTGCACACCGCCGCCACGGCCTTCAGTTCCTCCTCTCGAACGCAAGGTGGCGCGTGTCCTGGATCCCGCAGAAAGGTGGCCCCCACTGGGGACGCGGCAAAAACTGGCTGGTCAGGGCAGCCACGGTGGAGAAGGGGCAGTTTTAGACTCCTTGACGACATCAGTTGGCCAAATCTGAGGTGATAAAAAAAAACAAAAAACAGAGCCCACCTGTACTAGTGAACAGCAGTCCATGTGTGAGGTGAGGGTGAGTGTGCCAGGAGAGTGTGTGAGCATGAGCATGGAGGTCTGAGTGTGCAAGTAAGTGTGTGGTGTGCGTTCATGGGTGCGAGCGTGTGTGACTGTGTGAGGGTGGAGGGGTCTGGTGCATGTCCGTGTGTGTGTGGGAGTGTGGGGATGTGGGTGTGCGGGTGTGATTGTGGGAGTATGCATGGGTGTGAGTGGGAGTGTGAGGATGTGTGACTGTGGGGGTGACTGTGAATGTGGGGGGTGTGATTGTGGGGTTATTTGTGTGGGTGTGTGACTGTGTGGGGATGTGGAAGTGAGTCTGGGGTTGTGAATGTGTGGATGGGTGAGGGTGGTGGTGTATGTATGTGTGAATATGGGGTATATGAGTATTCAAGCAGAGGCGCAAGTGTCTGGTTGTGGGAGTGTGTAGGGGTGTGAGTGTGAGGGTGTGAGTGTGAGGGTGTGGGGGGTGTGGGGTGAGTGAAGTGAGTGTATGTATGTGTATGAAGGTGGGGACATGAGCATGTGTGAAGGTGTGGTGTGTGGGGAGGTAGGGGTGTGGAGAGGAGAGTGGGGTGTGTGAGGGTAGGGGTGTCAGTGTAAGTGTGAGGATGGGGTGTGGAGTATGTGAGTGTGGGGTGTGAGTGTGGAGGTTGTGAAGGGTTGTGGGGTGTGAGCATGTGTGTGGGGGGTGAGCGTGTGAGTGTGGGGGTGTCAGCATGTGTGAATGTGAGGGTGAATGTGAGGGTGTGGAGTGTGAGCATGTGTGAGGGCGAGTGTGAGGTCAGGGGTGTGGTGGTGGTGGTTCCGTTGCTGCTAGCAGGCTCTCTCCCTTAAGTCCCCTCTTCCAAGCCCTTCCTTCCGACGTCCTTTCAGCTGTAAGCTGACGGCCCCATTGGAGCAGGGTGGAGCCTCCACCGCTGTCCCTGGCTCACCTCCTCCCAGCCACCTCCTGCCCCTCTGTGCTGGACCTGGTTGGGGCAGGTGGTGCGGAGTGAGTAGGGCACGGGCAGCTCTGGCTGGCATTGGAAGGTGCGCTCCACAGGCTGAGAGGCCACGCCTCCTCCACATGCCTTGCCAGTGGCCTCTCAGGCTTCACGAGTCAGAAGGCTCCTCCTGGAAGTATGCCAGGGTCCCCTCTCCTGGCGCACCCCCTGCCACCCTCCCCACCGCATCTGTGACTTGCACATGTATAGCATTAGAACAACAAGACGGCTTCATCGTGATCCTGTTGCGCATGTGGGACTCGTGGGTTTCCTTCTAAGTGGAAATAAGAGCATTCTGATTCATGCTTCAGGGGCAGCTCCTGAAAGCTGGTGGCACTTCCAGATAAAACCCCAAGCGATGTGGCAGGTGGCTGGGACCCTGCAGCCTGCAGAGCTTGCAGACTGAGGTGCAGGTGAGGGAGAGAGCTCAGGACTCCTCATTCCAAACTCTGAAACCAGGGAAGCAATGGTGGTCCCTGTTCCTTCTCCTCCCATGAATGTCAGGGCGGCTTCCTGGCAGACTGGACAGGCTTTGGGGAAGGCACTTTCAGAGCCTGGTTCTGGCCCCTTCTGGCTATGGGATCTTGGACAAGTCTCTCACTGTCTCTAAGCCTCGGGGTCTCACGGGCTCTCCATGGTGAGGTGGTTGTGCTTTGATTTGGGTAAAGTGCCTGGCAGAGTGAGCATTTGGTGAATGGCGGCTGCCCGAGCTGCTGCTGTTGTTTTATTATCATCATTCCCTCTCTAGGACTCAGGTGGCCTGCGGTGGCTGTTCTTTGTGGGTGAAGCTGAAGCTGGGCTGGCTCTGCCAAGGAGGCTGTCTGGCACCCTGCAGCTCCACATCCTCTCGGTGGGATGCACCAGTGTCTGCTGCTTCTGGGGGAGGAAGAATAGTACAACTCCCCCCGTCTGAGGGGGAGGGGTGCAGGGGTCCATGGTGGATCCCCAGAGTGACTCAGTTCCTCCCACTCCCATGGTCCTCTCTGGTTCCGTGACCTCCATTCCTTGCGTCTGTAATGGGCTGGATGAAGCTAGGAAGCGCGTGCATCTTCTGAGGTGGGAATCTGCCTCTTCTTTTTTTTCCCTTTACTATGACGCCTGTTGCTCATAGGTACAAATCAAACGAAGAGTATGTATATGTGCGAGGCCGCGGCCGAGGGAAATATGTTTGTGAGGAGTGTGGAATTCGCTGCAAGAAGCCCAGCATGCTGAAGAAACACATCCGCACCCACACTGACGTCCGGCCCTATGTGTGCAAGCACTGTCACTTTGCTTTTAAAACCAAAGGTAAGAGAGAGTCAGCTGGGGCACTGCTCCTGCCCGCTGCAGGGAGCTCCCCTCTGGGAGTCCCAGCACAGAGTTCAGGTGCCCAGACCTCTTTGCAGGGGGCCTGGAGCAGCTCCATTTCCTGGATTCCCACCCAGCTTGGTGCCCAGTGGCAGAGCAGCTGGCCCCAGACTGGCCTGTGGCTCCCCATGGCTGCCCCCAGCCATCCTTCTGGAACACGCACACAGCCCCTGCACCTGTGGCTGCCCGGCCCTGGCCTGCCCAGCCTGGTGCAGCACTCTTGCTCACCGTTCCTGGTTTTGCATCTTCTCTCATCTCCCCTCCCTTCTGCATGTCTCCTGAGCCGTTTATCCACTGATCTGAGGCACTCCAGCATCCATGCTCGTCACTGCCACTCTTGCATTTGGAAATCCATTCCACTCCCAGCTGCTTAACACACTCGCATGCTCACTTCTCATGCCAGAGTGCACCGACCTCCACCCACCTCTCCACTCCCACCCTGTCCCTGCTCCACCCAGCTTCTCTGCACGTCTCAGCACAGGGCCGGCCCCCCACTCCCAGACTGGCAGCCCTGTCACCCCTGCCCCAGCCACACCCCACATCAGGGTCAGGATAGGCTCTGGCAGTCACCGGTGAAAGGAGGGGCCTGCTGTGAAAGGTGTGCATCCCAGAGAGCTACGATGGGTGATGGGCATGGCCTGGCCTGCCACAGCCACCCAGGCCAGGCCCCTGGTGTGGACGAAGGAGCTGAGTCCATGGGATTCTTGGATCGCACTCTCCTCCTGCAGGATAGGCAGGGAAGGTCCTGGCAGCTTGCTCACTGCAGACTGAAGTGCCTTGGAGGGAGACCCAGGGCTCTCGGCACCCTGGTGTCTTCAGCCTCTTGAGCTTTATAGATTCCTGGGTCAGGGTTTGGACATCAGGGTCCTGTCTTCTCCTTTGAGCAAGTTGGGGGCTTCTAGGAGCCCCGCGGTTTCTCAGGGGGTGAAACTCAAGGGCATCCTTCAGCTGTGCCACCTGTTGACCTTTGTTCTGTTGGCAAAGTTGCTCCCAGCGAGCGAGGCTGGGCCGCTGCTCTGGAGGGGGCCCAGCAGGGTCCCTACCCTTCTTCACTTCCTCCGTGCTCTTGCTGCCTGGCCCCTTCCGTTCTCTCTAAACCAAGTCAGGCGCCAGTTTATCACATCCCCTGGGACAGTGGCCTCTTCTCTGACTGTGTTCCCGTTTCTGGTCTCCTGACACCATTAACTGAACCCCTGCCCTGCCCTGTCCCCTCACCATCATCTGCAAGTTGAGCTCGAATTTTCCTGCCAAGGTTTTGGTTTAAACAGAGGTGCCTGCCCTCCCACTGCCTTTCCCTGATCCTCTTCTCTCTTAGTGTCTCATAAACAACGTCCCAAAGGTTGCCCAGAGAGGGCAGATAGGCCCAGGACTCCCCACCCACCCCATGGGTGCTTCGAAAGTGTCTTCCATCCCTGGAGCCCTGCCCAGCATGCGTCGCCCTGGACATGGGCTGTCCCTGACACGTCCTCCAACCGCACTTCCTCTGGCCTTCTGCAGCCAGTTGAGATTTTATGGAAGAGTAAGATGGAGATAACTGACTGACAATTCAGTGGACGGTCTTCAACTCTAAAAGCAGAATACTTCTCACCCAAGTCCCCTTGAAGGTGAAGAAAGTGATCCCAGAAAACAGAATAGCTGTTAATGCTGGAGCTGCAACTAGAACACGGGACCCGAGCTTCAGGGCATCACCCCGTCATCTTCCTTTCTCTGAGCGGTTAGTTTTCTCCCTTCCCGGGGGTGAGTGGCAAAAAGCTGCACTTGGAATGGCCTGCGTCCAGGGGACCACACTGTCCTCAGCCTGAGGAGCCCTGAGAGCTCCCAGCCCAGGGCCATGCAGAGCACACCTGTGCTCCACACGCAGCCTGGGCTGCCCATTGCCTCAGGAAACCATCACTCTGCCGCGAAAGACTGGAAGTTTCCAGCCCAAGCAGTTTCCTGCAGGGGGCCCACTCGATTCCCTTTGCCTTGGGTCCCTAGCAAGAGCCCCTACTTTCTAGGAGATGCCTTCATTGGAAGCCACACTGAGGCTGTCTGCAGTCCCTTCCTGGGCCTCTCTGAGCCAGCACAGAGCCGGGGCCCTGGAGGGCCTTGGAGGGTCCAGAGTACATAATCTGAACAGAGGGGCTGTAGGCCCTCCACATTTCCAGGGGTATAGAGCATCCCCCGAGGGAAGGCTGCCCCTGCTGTCCCGAAGGCCAGGCCCATGAGGCCGTGCTCTCAACCAGTGATCAGGCAGTGCCCTGAGCTCTTCCTCAACTGTTCACAGGGGCTTCTAGAAGACTAGAACCTTCCAGAACCAACACAGGGAGCAGATGGGAAATGGTGGAATCTGAAACTGTTTGACTAACAGAGGGAAGGCCAGGTTGGGATGGTGGCAATCGAAGCAGGGAAGGCTCCCTGTCAGCTCTCTCTGCAGTATGGGGGTGAAGGGAGAGCAGGACACTGGAGCTTCTGTCTGTTTCTGGGGCCAGGTGTCTTTGTGGAGTGCTGGGCCCCGTAAGCCATCAGCTCAGACAACACCGGCCCCTTCTCTCCGGGGCTGTGCGCCTCCCCATCAGGCCACCTCCAGGCCTGCCCCAGGCGGCCCTCCTGGCCCTACCACCCGGCTACCCCAGGGCCTGGGGAGCCCCTCCTGCCTTCCTGTCTGTCTCTGTCTGCCGTGTGTGTCTTGTCTCTTGTGTCAGACGTCGTGGCAGCAGCTCAGGCCTCTGGAAACTAGCTAAGGAACGCGTCAGTAGGTGGGGCTGGGGAGGCCTGTGGGTGGCCCTCTGGCGGCTGGGGGGGTCCCATTTCCTCTTCTCAGATGGTTCCCAGAGGCCGGCGGATGGCTGTGCCATGTCCAGGCCCTTGCACCGATCGCCTCGGGGGACAGAGATGGCCTCAGGTCTGCCAGGCCGGCAGGGGCAGGGACAGATGGGTTGGTCAAAGCCAAATGAGGCAGGCAGGGTTGGTGGTGGATGCCCTTTTATCGGAGGTTCCGCCTCTCGCCCACCCATCGCCTTCCCTCTCACTTGCCTTTGCTCTTCATTCCAGGCCTGTTAGGCTTTGGTGGGGTCTGGAATGACTGAGAAACTGTGGCTCTGCCTGACAAGCCGAGGCCCTGGCCCTCAACAGGGAAGTGGTGTTCAGGCTGCACCTGCAGCCATGTGCCCCACCTTCCCCTTTCACAGAGGAGGAGACGGACCTGGAGAGGGAAGTCACAGAGGGACCCAGACAGCACTCAGGGCTGCCCATCCAGTGTCCACTCCTGGACCCGCAAAGTCACCTCCGATCCTGACTCCTCCCTGCACCCCCGGGGTTGGGGGCAGAGGAGAGACAGCCCTTTGGGGGCTCCCTGGTGCCTTCTCCTGAGAAAGGTAAAACCATTTCACCATAAGCATCATCTTAGCATCTCTTCCTCCACACCCAGCATGGTGCGTGGCAGAGCCCCCGGCTGCTCAATAGAGTGACTGGCATGGGGACAGGGGTCTGCTCTCTGCCAGGCACACTCTGCTGCCACTCTACATGTGTCACCTCATCAAGTCCTCCCGCATCCCCACGAGGTAGGTATTACTTCACAGTTGCAGAAACCGGGGTTCAGAAGGTTAAGGAACTTGCCCAGGAGCCCGCAGCTAGCAAGCTGCAGAGCCCACAGTCAAACCCAAGGCTGCCAGGTTCCATCTAGGTTCCACTCTGCCTCCACATGGAGTGGGAAAGGCCCCCAGAGTCTTGAGACCTGAGTCTAAATGGAACTCGGCACCAACAGCACTGTGGCTACGGGCCACCTGATTCGCTGTGTTGGCTCAAGCAGCCCTGCCAGCGTCCGAGACAGCCAGTGATCTTGTCTAATGGTGCCATCAGCACCTGGACCCAGAGTTAGATCAGAAGCAGGGAGAATCTCAGCCTGGTGGGGGTTCAATTACATGGACTTGGAAGTTCCTTCCAACATTTTCCTCCTGCGATGAGAAGGGCATTTCCCATACGTGGCTATTGTACACCCATTGTGTGCCCAGCATCTAGCTTGGTTCATTAGAGACCTAAACCTTCCAGGCAGAACAGGTGCGACAAATGAGGTAATAGCCAGAATGAGCAGTGTCTGCTGTGCTCTGTGGTCTGGGGTAGTCAGGGTAGGGTGGGCCTGGATCCAGGACCTTAGGACAGTGGATATCTCTGATCCACGGAAGACCCCAGCTGCCTTTTCCCACCTCTTGACTGTCCTACTCTGGCTTTGCCTTCTCATGACAGTGAGGGCAGAAGTCCACTAGGTTGGACAGGGACCTCTGAGGACCCTCTGGCTACAAGATGACTCTGGAATTATGGCTTTGCTCCCACTATTGCCAGGAGTAGAACTTGCAGGTTTATTTCCGGTTATAGGAGGAAGACCCAAATTAGGAAGGATAGAGTCATGAACCAGGACCAACGTGAAGAACGAGGAAAGGAAGCAGCTCCCCTCCCATCCCTGGTGCCCTTGACTTGAACACCTCTGGGAATCCCAGCTCAAGGTTCCCCCATTAACCTCTTAGCAAAACCCTAAAGATTTCTTCTAATTCCAGGAATGATTAAGAAGCACCCTTTGGTTCATCTGTGGGCCCTCTCCCTGGTCACCTATCCATCCATCTCATCTAATAGTTTTCCTGTTCATTTATCTTCTCATCCTATCTGTTCCTACCATTCTCCCATTTGTCCTCCCACCCATCCAACTTCCCATTCTTTCATCCTCCTATCTGTACTCCTATGCATGTAAAAGTGCATGTGTCCATTCAGCCATCCAACCAGCCATTCTTCCATTCATCCATGTCTCCGTCCTCCCATCCAGCTCTCCATCATCCCACCTGTTTATTGACCCATTCTCCATCTATCCTTCCATTTATTTTCATCTACTCACCTATCCTCTGTCTGCCTATTCCTCTCTTTATCTGCTCATCTAGAGTTCCATCCCTCTGTCTATCCTCTTCCTGTTCTTCATTCTCTTTATATTTCCTTTATCCACTTTATCTATCCACCCACCAATCACTCTATTCATCCACTCCAGGAGGCTTACCTCTTTCCATTCTTCTCTCCTCCATCCATCCATTCAAACTTACCAATTAATTAGACTAATGGGACAGAATACCTGATTCAGGGCACTTATGATGTTAATGACCATATGGAAATACAGCCATCCCCAGGGCAACAGTGAGCACATCATAGTTTGGGAGTAGCTGCTGGGCCCAAAGCAATATCCTGAGGCATCTGGCCTGTGTTCTTCTGGGGCAGGCTGGGATGCTCTGCCTGTCCTTCCTAGAACCCTCCTGTCCACCGAGCTGTGTGGCCTGTGAAATGTTGCACACCTGCTGGGGAACTGAAGCTGTTGTTACTGCTCCCTGATTCCACAGAGCTGCTGTCTCTGCTCTGCAGCTTGTGGGCTGGACCCACAACTTGGGGCAAAGCCAGCCTCCCCTCTGAGGGCTTTGTAGGCATGGAGCAGGACAGAGGCCTTGCCCGGACCTTCCCTGACCACCCTGGTCCTGTGTCTGCACTGTAGATTGGCCTGGGGAAACTGAAGGCCCAGAAATGGGACTTCTCTGTGGAAACCAAGCTTGGGCCCCCAGCCTTGTGGCTCCTGAATCCCTGGCCAGTAGACTTCACTACTCTCACCTTCTGCCCTCTCGCCATGCGTAATATTGAATTTGCCCTGGTTTCTCTACCTACACTAGAATTCTGCCCTGTGGGCTGCCCTAGAACTATCCTCAGCCAGAAGGGCATGCTTAGTCCTCACCCATCACGCCGGTCAATGGGAGCCTCCCACGTCATCCCACACTTGAGATGGCCAATAGTGCTGCCTGATGAGCATCACCAGCTACTAGGGCCAGACTTAAATCAGAAGCGAAAAAGAAAAAGAAAAAGAAACCTATTGCACTTGAGTTGTCTTTCAATTTCTTTTTTTGTTTGTTTTTTAACCAGCATCTCACTTCCTCATTATACTCTCTGTCCCCTCGCAGTCCCCTCTCAGCCCCCGCCCCTGCCCCCCCGCCTAGCTCCTGTGCACTGCCCTAACAGCAGCTGTGGCTACAGGTCTTGGCCTGAGCACCAGGGCAGAGGGATGCCCCAGCTCCTGCCCAGCCCCTGCAGCTGGCAGGGCCTTGACTGACCTGGAAACCATGGCCTGCCGGCCAGGTGCTACCTCCGTGAGTCCTGGGCCTGCCCTGGCCTCCTGCCCCACAGCAGAGGCTAAGTATTCTCATTTCTTTCTAGGGAATCTGACTAAGCACATGAAGTCGAAGGCCCACAGCAAAAAGTGCCAAGAGACAGGGGTGCTGGAGGAGCTGGAAGCCGAAGAAGGTAACAATTGCCAACCTCCTCCGTCCCTTTCCCCTCGTCCGCCTTCCCCGTCCTCCTCCACCTTAACTCTTTGCCTTCCGTGCTTCCTTTCTGTCTGCTTTGCTCCATTCCCCCTCATCCCCTCTCTCCCTCCCATGTCTTCACCTTCATTTCTCCCAACTCTCAGAGACAAAGGTTAAATTCCCTGAATGATCGGGCCGCCTTCCCACATGCTGATAGGATATGCTGTGCAGCCCTAGCTATCGTGCATTACCATCTGTCATGCAGGTGGAGCGCCTGGCACCCATGGGTGCTCAGTGAATGTTTACTGAATAAATGCACACAAGAGAACTCACAGTCAACGTTGAGTGCCCACTATGTGTCGGGCAGGTTCTAAATGCATGCCCTGAATTATCCCAGCAACTCCTCACAGTGACACTGTGGGACACATACTCTCCAAAGCTTCACACCCACACTCCTGCCTACACACTCCGGCATGGGCTGACACATGGGCCTTTTGGAGCTAGGAGAGTTTCACGAAAGCCCAAAGCAGACCTGACAGCTGCTTGTCACCTCCCAGCCCCATCCCCGTACACACCCTGGTCATGGTGGTCAATCCCCAGGAGGCATCTTAGAGTCAGTCTCTGAGAAGACAGGGCAGAGGATTTGAAGCCAGTGGGTCTGGCTGGGCACTGCCAGGCCTTAGCAGTCAGACAGGTGGCCAGAAGGGCTTTGGTGGTGAACGGCAGTCCCTTCAACAGGAGGAGGCTGGAGCCATTTCTCAGCACCAAGCAAAGCAGGAAGCATACTGATTCCCTGAAATCAGCCCCAGGACTTAGAGTGTGACAGAGAGGAGTGTGTATGCACACACTGTGTGTCTTGTTCCATTTTTGTTTTTCCAATTTGGGGAATATTTGTGGTCTTACAAAAAAGAGTTAAGTCATATTTCCTTTTAGGTGGAATACGTCATTTTTATAGAGCAGAACACAGTGAACTTGGGGCTGTTCACCTCAAAGCTAGAATATGGGTTCGCGGTGCTTGACAAGGATACACTGGGCCATATACACATATTGTCTCATTGAGTCCTTAAAACAGGTGGCAGAAACTTGTGTCACGCATGTTAAGTCAGGGAAGTCAAAGCTCAGACAGGTAAAAATAGCCCAAGGTCACACAAAAACCCTGGCTGCATGCCACTCCACTGCCTGGTGGGCTGAACCAGGGGAGCCTGAGCCTAAGCCAGAGCCCTCCCCTGAGGTCCCTGCCCTGCCCCAGCCTCATTTTCCCAGTGGAGCGAAGGAGGATGCTCAGAGCCACTTTTCTCAGGACGAAATCCATGCATTCATTCCAGAAGTAATTACTGGGCACAATCTCTGTGCCTGGCTCTGTTCGGGGTGCTGGAGGTTCCGCAGTAAATAAAACAGCTCCTGTCCGCAGGCAGTCGGCATGGCAGGGGAGCTGGGCAAGGAACGAAGGTGGAGTAGAGCAAGGGCCTTGCCTGTGAAGCCAAAGAGAAAGCAGAAGAGCCAAGTGAGGGCTGGGGCCCGTGGGGAGGGCTGCTGTGCCAGACAGAGGGTTGTGAGCAGAGAACCCCCACCGGAAGGAACCGGAGTCAGGAGCCACGTGGGGTCAGGGAGGAGCTCTCCTACAGAGGGAGCATCAGGTGCGGGGTTCCCTAGTGCTGGAGCCCGCTGGGCGCGGTAGCAGCCGGTTCAGAGAGACCTGGAGCCGGAGGGCTGAAGGGCACCGGGGGTGCCCTGGAGCAGAGGAGAGAGGCAGGGCGTCCTCTGGCCTGTGCTGGGGGCGCGGGGAGGCCGGATGTGCTCAGGAGGTGAAAAAGCGGCGGGATTCTGGGTGGGCTCTGGAGGGAGAGCCCACAGGCTCAGCTGACCCCATATGGGGCAGAAGGGAGGGGGGAGGACGAAAAGGAGCCAAGGAGGACTCCAAGGTTTACGGCCCAAGAGACTGAAGGATAGAGTTTCCACTTCCCGCGACCAGACAGATGCAGGGGGGAGCGGCATGAGTTCGTGTCTGTGGAACGCGAGGTGGCGCGTGGGAGGACTGCCTGGAAGGAGCGAGGCGCCCGGTCCCTGCCCACGGTGCTGGCCAGGCTGGGCGCCAGCGCCACCGCGTGGCCTCTCCCAGCGGCGCCCGCCGCGCGCTCAAGCACACTCATTTGTGGAGCGTTGGCCTGGATCCCAGCAGGGGCGGGGCCGCTCCAGCAAGGGCCCTGGGAAGGGGCCGCCCAGACAGAGGCATTCCCCAGTGCCTTGCAGGAACGCAGATGTGGAGGGCCCGGCCAGCCTCAAGCTGGGCAGGGGACTCTTGGCTTCCAGCATTCATGCACTGAGTGCCCAGGACGGGCCATTATCCCCGCTGGGTCTCAACTTCCACATTAGTAAAGAGGGTCTTTATGAGCCCTCCCTGCTGGGCATCAGGAGACGCTGGTCCTGACTCTCCTTCACTCCTAACACTACCCCTGTGACCTTCATCTGCAAAATGCTGACAGTCCCGCCCCAGCTACCTGCCTGCTGAGACTGGGGGGACAGGGATGACAGGAGCTGAAGTTTATTGGGTACTTACTGTGTGCCAGACCCTCACAGTCCTCTCAACAACTTCCTAGAGTGCTTCTATCACTACCCAGTTTACAGATGAGGAAACCAGACACAGAGAAAGTAAAGCATCCAACGTCACACAGCAAGGAAGTGGTGGTGCTGAGATTCAAACCCGACCACTCCCTGCTTCTTAGTGCAGCACATCATTTTTAAACTGTCAGCGTAACAATGCAAGGGCTGTAAACCTTAGTTCTGACTCAGCCACCAGCTCTCACGGAGTCATCTGTGCCTGGATTTTGCTGTATGTAAATAAGGGGCAGGGCCAGGTGAATGCATGATGAAGTAGGCCCCTGCCAAAGTCCTAGGCAAGGAAAGTAAATGCCTGGGGCATAACTGCAAAGTTCACCCCCATCCCCAGTCCTGCTCTCATCCTAATTCTTCATTCCTCCTCTGATCTCATCACCCTGCCTCTAGCCTCAGGGCCCTCCCTTTGCCTGCCAGCCCTAGCTCCACCCCATAGCTTTGACCTACATCCGGCTGAATGCCCACTTTTGTCCACTTTGGACATCTGACTGCTGCATATTGAGTGACTTGGAAGTGCTAGTTCCGGGCTTTCTGGCCTCGGGGAAGCTGGATATGGTGGAGAGCCAAAGCCTGGCTGCCCCAGCGGCCTGAGTCAGCTTCTGTGCCAGCCCTCCTGGTCAGTGGTGGGTGCAATACTGACATGTGTGAGTGATGGGGCTGGCTGGCTGGCTCAGCCCACCTGTCAGCAGCCTCATTCTGCAGACCAGAAACAGGTTCCGATGGTCTAGCGATGGGCCAGTGAGGAGGCCAGATGTTAGCGGAGTTCTCCCCAGCATCGGGATTGCTGTCCATTTCAGAGATGCCCAAACTAGACTCCTGACATGTTAGAGGTGACCCGGCTGGTTGGGGCCATCCCAGAGGAATCAGACCAGGAGGCTAGTGTTTCAGGGTCCTAACCCCCACTTTTATACTCTATTCAATAATTCTGTTATTATTCTTGTAGTCTGTTTAAGGAGTGCAAGTGACCTAAATGTCCAACAATATCTGAAACAAGTATCACAGTTTTGTTGTTTGTTTACTCTTGTGAACAATTGCTTCCAAGTCTCTCAACATGCAGCAGTCAGATGTCCAAAGTGGACAAAAGTGGGCATTCAGCCGGATGTAGGTCAAAAACTATGGAGTGGAGCTGGGGCTGGCAGACAATGGGAGGGCCCTGAGGCTAGAGGCAGCCTGGACTTCAAAAGGGCAGTGGCTCCTCAGATAAGAGCATGGCTGGGATGGGGACCTGCTCTGCAGCCTGAGGCCAGCTTAGTCAAGCCGCCCACAGAGGCCAGAGGCCACCATCTGCCAGATGCCATTGTGACAGCCACCAGGAGCCTGGTCACCATGGCAGATGTGTGTTTACACTGACCACGGATGGCTCTGTGCTGCTGGACCAGCCAGTGTGACTGCTCTGTCCTGGAATAATAGAGTTCATCATTAATGTGTTAATATGGCAGCTATAATTATTTTTAAGCCCTCGATATGTGCCAGGTCTTCCTTTTACTCCTCCTAGAAAACCTGGTGAGGTGAGACCATCACATTCATTCGACAAAGGGGGAGACCAAGCAGAGCAAGGTGGGGTAACTTGCCCGTGGCGCAGCCAGCACTGAGATGCTAATGAAACAAACAAAGACTGTCTTCTTTGCTGTGGCTCAATCCCAGCCCTACTACTGTCTTCCATGGGCAAGTTAATTACTCTCTCTTACCTCAGTTTCCTCATCTGTAACATGAAGATGAGAACAGTACCAGCTTCATAGGATTCTTTGAGGTCTAAATGAATAAATTTACCTAAAGCTCTCAGAACTGAACGTTGCACATTCTAGGCATAAAGGAATTATTGTTCACTGTTGTTATTTACAAAGCGCTCCCATATCTGTTACATTTCGTGGTTGTCCCCACAATCTTGTGCCCTTGCCATGGCTATTTTGCCCAGTCAGCAGGCAAGGAAACTGGGGCTCAGAGAGGAGCAGCCATGAGGGCAGCGGGGCCAAGGCCCAACCGTGACTTTGGGTCTTCTGTGTTTGCCCTCAGGAACCAGTGACGACCTGTTCCAGGACTCGGAAGGACGAGAGGGCTCAGAGGCTGTAGAGGAGCACCAGTTTTCGGACCTGGAGGACTCGGACTCAGACTCAGACCTGGACGAAGACGAGGATGAGGATGAGGAGGAGAGCCAGGACGAGCTGTCCAGACCATCCTCAGAGGTGCCCCCGCCTGGCCCACCACATGCACTGCGGGCAGACTCCTCACCCATCCCGGGCCCTCAGCCCCCAGATGCCCCCGCCTCTGGCACCCAGGCTACACGAGGCAGCTCCGTCTCAGAAGCTGAGCGCCTGACAGCCAGCAGCTGCTCCATGTCCAGCCAGAGTACGCTGGGCCTCCCCCGGCTGGGACCGGCCCCTCTGGGCTCTGTGGAGAAAGACACAGGCTCAGCCTTGAGCTCCAAGCCTGTGTCCCCGAGAAGACCATGGTCCCCAAGCAAAGAAGCAGGCAGCCGTCCACCAATAGCCCGCAAACACTCACTAACCAAAAACGACTCATCTCCCCAGCGATGCTCCCCGGCCCGAGAACCACAGGCCTCAGCCCCGAGCCCGCCCGGCCTGCACGTGGACCCAGGAAGGGGTATGGACCCTCTCCCTTGTGGGTCTCCAAGACTTCAGCTGTCTCCTCTCACCCTCCGCCCCCTGGGAAGAGAACTGCCCCCTCGAGCACATGTGCTTTCCAAACTCGAGGGTGCCACCGACCCAGGCCTCCCCAGATACTCGCCCACCAGGAGATGGTCTCCAGGTCAGGCCGAGTCACCACCACGGTCAGCGCTGCCAGGGAAGTGGGCCTTAGCTGGGCCGGGCAGCCCTTCAGCGGGGGAGCATGGCCCAGGCTTGGGGCTGGCCCCGCGGGTTCTCTTCCCGCCCGCTCCTCTACCTCACAAGCTCCTCAGCAGAAGCCCAGAGACCTGCGCCTCCCCGTGGGTGAGTTCCTGCCCCTGGGGGCTGGGCCGCTTCTCCCCTGTGGGTGCGGGGATTGCAAGTTCACACCCTCCTGGGTATCACACCTGGAACTAAACAGCTCTGCCAGCTCAGTAGTTATTAATAATTTAGCAAACATTTATTAGGCACCTACTGTGCCATGCACCATGCTGGGTGCCCTGAATCAGCTGGCTAATTAAACTTTATTTTAGCCTCAGAAGCACAGAGCATGGACTCTGGAGTTCACGGGATCTGGGTTCTACCACGTATTAGTCCATTCTTGCATTGCTGTAAACAAATTCCTGAGTCTGGGTAATTTATAATGAAAAGAGGTCGAATAGGCTCCCAGTTCTTCAGGCTGTACAGGAAGCGTGGTGCCAGCATCTGCTCGGTTTCTGAGGAGGCCTCAAGCAGCTTTTACTCATGGCAGAAGGCGAAGCAGGAACAGGCATCTCACATGGCAGAGTGGAAGCAAGAGAAAGAGCTGGGGGGAAGGTGCAACACACTCAAAATGCCAGATCTCATGAGAACTTACTCACTATCTGGAGGACAGTATCAGTCCCCATGACCCAAACACCTCCCGCCAGGCCCCACCTCCAACACTGGGGATTACAATTCAACATGAGATTTGGGCAGGGACAAATATCCAAACGATATCATGTCACTTGCAAGGGGTGTAGCCTTGGATGTGGGTGTAAATACTCATGCAGTTTCCCACCCCCACCCCATCCCCATCTGCCTGTGTTCTTTGAGCAGATGGCAGAACTTAACCAAAACCATCACCATCTCCAATATCACTGTCACCAGTGCCCTCAGAGACACCCTGTGGATCATCAGCACTGTCCCCATGGGCAGCACCACCACTGTCACCATTGCACCAACACACCACAGCTGCCACCCCATCAGCACAGTCACCATCCCTGTCCCCTCAGCTGCCATGACCCCTCAACTGACAGCACCATCGTCAGCTGACCACCTTCCGACACCGTCTCTGTCTCCATGTTGCCATGACCCAGCCCTGTCACTCCTGGAGGAACACTGATCTAGGAATCCTTGATTTTTAATTTTGGGGTCACATTCAAATTCCTGGGGGTGGCAGAAGGTCAAGAACTGCAGGTGGGAACTCATGTCCAAGGGTGAAGCTGGGTGAAGACCATTTAGGAACAGGAGAGGCAGCAGACCCACATAGAGGCCAGGCTCATGGGTGACGACAGGGCCCCACGTTGCTCAAGTATCCCCTCCTTTGAAGACAGATATGCTGGCCAGAGGCATGGAGACCATGGGGCCTGAGCATACTCATGGTCACTGTCGAGCTGGAGATGGCCCATTCCAGAGATGGCAGCAGGCTCAGCATCATGGGCAGGGAGTCAGGAGCTTGGTTCTGGGTTCAGCTCAGCCGGAACTCTGGACTCGCTCTGTGATCTTGGGCAAGTCCCCTTCCCACTTCCAGGCCTCAGCTCCCCATGTGCCCAGCACGTAACCTTCACCTTACCTTGTCTTGTTTTCTGACCCCAGCAGAAGGCCGAGTCCCGAAGTCCCTCCTGCTCACCCAGCCCTGCTCATCCTCTCTCCTCCCGACCATTCTCCGCCCTCCATGACTTCCACGGCCACATCCCGGCCCGGACAGAGGAGAACATCTTCAGCCACCTGCCCCTGCACTCCCAGCACTTGACCCGTGCCCCATGTCCCTTGATTCCCATCGGTGGAATCCAGATGGTGCAGGCCCGGCCAGGAGCCCACCCCACCCTGCTTCCAGGGCCCACCACAGCCTGGGTCAGTGGCTTCTCCGGGGGTGGCAGCGACCTGACAGGGGCCCGGGAGGCCCAGGAGCGAGGCCGCTGGAGTCCCACTGAGAGCTCATCAGCCTCCGTGTCGCCCGTGGCTAAGGTCTCCAAATTCACACTCTCCTCAGAGCTGGAGGGCAGGGACTACCCCAAGGAGAGGGAGAGGACCGGCGGAGGCCCGGGCAGGCCTCCTGACTGGACACCCCGTGGGACCGAGGCACCTGCCGAGCCCACACCCACGCACAGCCCCTGCACCCCACCCGACACCTTGCCCCGGCCACCCCAGGGACGCCGGGCAGCGCAGTCCTGGAGCCCCCGCTTGGAGTTCCCGCGTGCACCAACCAACCCCGAGGCCTCTGCCACCCCGCCGCTGGACCGCAGCAGCTCCGTGGGCTGCCTGGCGGAGGCCTCTGCCCGCTTCCCAGCCCGGAGGAGGAATCTCTCTGGGGAACCCAGGACCAGGCAGGACTCCCCCAAGCCCTCAGGAAGTGGGGAGCCCAGGGCACCTCCACATCAGCCTGAGGACAGGGGCCCCCGCAACGCTTAGCCTCTCTCCAACTGCTTCAGCATCTGGCTTCCAGTATCCAGCAACAGACGTTTCCAGCCACTTTCCTTGAATCATCCCACTCCCTCAGCCCCATCTGTCCCTCCGTCCAGGAGCTCTCACGGCCCCATCTGTTGTACCTTCCCATGTATGCAGTTACCTGTGCCTTTTTCTACGCCTTTTGTTGCTTAAGAAGAAACAAAACAAATCACATACATACATTTAAAAAAAAACAACAACAACCCGTGAGAGGTCTGAGGCTGTGAATAGTTTATGCTTTTGGGGAAAGGCTGATGGTGGAGCCTCCTGACCCTCCCCGCTGCGGTTGGCAGCCACCCACCCCAGAGGCTGGCAGAGGGGAAGGGGTGCACTGAGGGAGAAAGGAAAAGGAAACCTCAAACAATATAGAATTAAATGTAAAAGGAAGCACTCCTGTGTACAGATGCGATCAAGGTTCCTGTTTATTGCCACTTTACCCGCTGCCCAGCTCGTGGCCACCCCTCTCTGCCAGCAGAAAGGTCAGTGTCCCCAGGCACAGGGGCGCAAACAGAGGCAGGTGACCCCCACCCAGGCCCCAGCAGGCAGGCCCAGAAAAAATAATCTTTTCCTTTTTTTTTTTTTTGCAAGAAAATAAAATTACACTTTTCCTAGGATTTCAATGCAAAATAATAGGTGCAGGTAGAAGGAGGAGGGTGGCTCCCCAAGGGCCCTTGGATACTCTGGTAGTCTGAGTCATAGGCCCATCCTGGCACTCCCCAGGTGGGCAGGCCACCCCACCCACGCACCCCCACTCCCAACACCTCCCTTCTGCACCCCACCCTGGCCCCCTGGGCTGGGGAAGGAGCCCTGACTGTCCGTCCCTGGCTCCCAAGCCCCTGACCAAGGCCTCACTCTTCTGTTGCCTCCTCTGTTCTAAAACTACCCACAAAGGCGGAAGTGGCAGGGCCCAAGCCTTAGGGGTCGTTCCTGAGACTGGGTTTTGGGTTCTGTTTCACCCTGGGGTACAAGGGACCCTGTTCCACTCATGGCTGGGTTTTTCCAGTGCTCCACCACAGGAGTTTGCAGAGAACTGTTTCGGGACCACCCCCTCTCCCTGCCCCACACCGTCCCTGTCTCCACGACCCCAAGGAAATACCCAGAACTGTGGCTGGTGGATATGGCCCGGGCCTGTTCGCTGTCTTACACCTCTTTTTTAAAAAGAGAGAGAGGACGGTGTTTGATACTTTGCCCAGCCACCACAGATTCTCGTGACCTAGAGGATTTGTGAATTGTCCTAAGTCATTGGAATTCTCCAAAGCAATCAGTGCAAGCCAGTGCCTCTTCCTTACCCCCCTCTCTACCTTCAAGAAGCTGCCCTGCATTTCCTGGGGCAAAACTCTACTTTGTAAGAAAAATAATAGGACCAGAAATTTAAATCCCAAATTGAACTATGGAACTTGAACTGTAGTGTGTTTGCCCCAACTGGGAGAGGTGAGTTTTTCCCCAGTGTTCCAGAACTGGTTTTCTTTACTTTCTACAAAGGAGGGCAGCACAGGGACTATGGTCGTGGCCCATGAAGGCTGGGTTTGATGCCACCCTATAAAGAGCAGGGACCTCTCTGGCCAGTCCCCAGTCCTCAGCCAGGCTGTATGAATCAAGTGCCCGCCCCAGGGCTCTTGAGCTGTTGAAGCTGTTTGGGTACAGGACACAGTAGGTGGGGAGGATTAAGACCCTTCTGTGAGTTCCCTGTGCGGGGCCGTACTTGCCTCTTCCAATTCGTGGCCTTTCCCTGGCCTGGCCCGGCCCCTACTAGACAGACAAACCAGCCACAGTCCAGCCTGCAGCCAGACCACCTTGTTCATTCATTCTCCTTTGCCTCACTCAGAGCTAAAACAAAAATGAGACGAAAGGCAGGGCCTCCCTGGGGGTCCACTGTGTTCCAGGGTCCTGGGGAGTCAAGATTAGCCAGCAGCTCCTGACTGCTTCCCTCAGAGATGAGGGCTCTCATCCTCCCCAAAGCAGCAGCAAGCCCAGCCTGGACCACACCGTCCATATTGCTGGACAGTGGCCTGGCAGAAAGTGACTCCTCCGAGTCCCAGGAGGCCAGGGCTTTTCCCACCCTTGCCTTTCAGCCCTGACCCATGGGACTGCCCACGGATTGGAAGCTTCAAGGGCTGAGGTCTGGGAGCTGCATAAAGGCCTTTGCTTCAGCCCAGGTTAAAAATCTCCCTGGGCAGGCTCTTTCTGCCCCAGACCTACAATGCAGCAGACTGGGGGCTCTGGTGGACTAGCCCCTGACATTGGTGGGGGGCCCCACACCACTCCACCCCACTCTGCCTTCCAGCTCTCGCGGGCATTTTTCTCCCTGTACTCAAACAGCCTACCCACCCAAGGTTTCCTCCCTGGGCAGCCTAGCAATGAACAGCGCAGCCGGCAGGGCAGAGGCCCGGCAGTCACCGGGCCCGTCAGGCTCAGGCAGAGAAGCCACAGGGGCCAGGAGTCACTGGAGACTATTTCTAAATGATGGGGGGAAATGCACAAATAGAATCTCACCAAAGGGCTGCCTCCACATTGATGCTGTGCCCAGAGGGACACAACCAATGCCACCAGCCTGGGTGTATGTCACTGGGCACAGCTCTAACCCCCTCCTCCGGACTCTAGTCCCAGTCCTCTGTGCACAGAGCCTCCGGCCCACAGGTACACCTTCATGATCTGGAGAAAGACGCTTGCCCCATGCACGCCCTCCCCTGGGCCTTCTGCCCTGCTCCCAGTCACTTCCAAGCTTCCTGTTTGCCTGTGATGTTATTGTGCCTGTTGAGGGAAGCAGCAGAGGAGGCAGTGGCTGACTTGGCACAGATGCCTGCTGCGTGCTCTTTTGAAATGCGCGGGGTGGCCATTCCTTGGTACAGACTAGCCCTGGTCCTTAGGTGTGGGCAGTAGGGGAGGAACCAACTGGTCGAGGTTTCAGAGCCAAACCTTGCCTTCAGTTGGTGAGTCCTTGCCCCCCAGGCCTGCGCTCCACGATGCTCTTCACCCTTGGCAATCTCAGTGCCATCCTGGATAGTAACCCCACTCCTCTCTGCTCCTGCCCACACCTATGGCTCTCACTCTGGCCTCAAGCCTTGCGACCCTCCAGGAGCCTGACAGCAGCCAGCTGCCTGCACTGTCGCCTCCATAAGCTCCAACTTCCAGACCCAGACGTCCCTCTGCTTCCCTCTGTTGGAAAAAAGCCTAAAAGAATTAGCTTCCAGATTCCTCTAGCCCCTGCTCCATTCCCACCCAGTCCTTCTGAAGAGGAATGAGCAATACATCTGAGCTGGATTTCTCTCTAGTCCTTTCTCCAGACAAATCCTTCTTAAAGCGAAAGTCCTGGCTGAGCACCTGTCCTTGGGGACCGATCTGCCGTGTGACCAGGGAAAGAAAGTTCCCGAAAGCCTATTCCACCAATTCTGCTTCTGTGTTGTGAATCCAGTCTGCTTTCCATTAGAAAACCGCTTCGGCACTTACGGTCACTTTACTAAATCTAGTATGTAAAAAAAGAAAGAAAGAAAGAAAAGAAACAGAAAAAGGAAATGTGCAGGCAAATGTAAAATACAACGCTCTCTGTAAGATAAATATTTGCCTTTTTTTCTAAAAGGTGTATGTATTCTGTACGTGAAATTGTCTGTAGAAAGTTTCTATGTTCTTAAATGGCAATACATTCCAAAAATTGTACTGTAGATATGTACAGCAACCGCACTGGGATGGGGTGGTCTTGCCTGTAATTTTATTTAAACTCCAGTTTCCACACTTGCATCTTGCAATGTTGATATGGTATATATCAGTGCAAAAGAAAAAAACAAAAAAACAAAAAAACAAAAAATCCACGCAGGTCTAAAGCACAGAGTCTGACGTACAAAAGGAAAAATGCTCAGTATTGATGTGTGTGACCTTTGTTGTAAATTACATCTGTACTGTGAATGAGAAGTTTTTACAAGTATAATAATTGCCTTTATTACAGCTCTGGCTGAGTGTTCAGCCTGAGGATATTTTTTAAAAAAAAAATTAGCATGTTGGAATAAATTTGAAAATCCCAACATAGCCCTGCTTGCCTGGCTCATGGTTTCTCTAGAGGGTTCCACGATGTCAGAGTTGGAAGGACACTTGGCATCCCAAGTGCTCATTTTGCTTCAGAGCAATCAGGCCAAGAGAGCAGAGGTGACTAGGCTGCAGTCACACAGCCTAGGACTCTCTTGCAGACCCTGGAAAGGCCTCTCGAGGAAGCGCCAGATATAGCACCATCTGGTTTGGGGCCTGTATTTGTTCCCTAGTCTGCAGTGACAAATCACCACAAACTAGGTGGCTTTAAACAACAGAAAGTTATTCTTTTACAGTTCTGGAAGCCTTAACTCCAAAGTCAAGGTGTTGGCAAAGTTGATTCCTCCTGGAGGCTCTGAAGGAGAATCAATTCTATGCCCCTCCTAGCGTCTGGTAGCTGCAGACAATGCTTGTCTTTCCCTGGATTATACACTCATCACTCCAGTCCCTGCCTCCACAAGGCCACATTCACAGATTCCAGGCATTAGGACATAAACTTAACTTTCGGGGAGGGCCCCCATTCACCTCACTACAAGATGAATAGTGAATTGGTTCTTGAGTGTTGGCAGTGGGAGAGGCACAGCACTTACTGCCTGTGAGACCTTGGGCAACTCACCTAACCTCTCTGTGCCTCTGTTTCCTAATCTGTAAAGTAGAGGGGCATGATCCATATCTATAAGGGCTGGTGTGGGGATTAAGTGAGATGGTATACAGGATGGCTGGCTAACAAAGCCTGGAACATAGTAAGCCTTCAACAATTTGTTTCTGAGCAGGCTTTGCACAGGGTTCTGGGGTTACAAGGGTGGAAAAGATATGGAGTCCCCACCTTTTGTATTGAGCAACGATTTGCCGAGTGCCAATGAGAGGCAGTCATTGATACAACAGCGAGCAAGACAGACACAGATCCACCACGAGGAGCTCACATTCTAGCAGGGGAGGCCATCATCAGTTACTCAATCACAGTAGCCATCACGGCTGTGGTGGAAGACAATGACGGTGCTAATCCAGAGTGAGTCTACATCACCCAGGGGACCTTTCCTGGAAAAGTCCTAAGGGTCGGGAGGACGAAGGGAGCCATGAGAAGGAGAGGATAGATTGACTGATGGACGATCAAGGGGGATTCTCAGGGTAAACGCCATCCAGAAGTTTAGTGCTAAGAGCCTAAGAGGGTCTGTTCGTTCAAAGCAATCAGAGGATTAATTGTTGCTGGCTTTTGGGAAAGCTGGACTAGTACAATTCCTGGTGCCTAGTGGGTCCTTCATAGATGCTGCTGAATGTTGAATGAATAAATGGTGGCAGTCGATGGTGGTGGTTGAAGAGTGAGGACAAGGTGGGAAAGTGGAGGTAGCAGACACAGACACCTTCTAGGGGCCTGGGCTAGAGACAGGGGAGAGCAGGGGCAGTTGTGGGAGAGTGTGGGGTGCAGGGAAAGGAAGCTGAGTGTGTGATGGGCTGGTGAGGAGACGAGAAGCCAAATGTAGACTCCTCTCCCACTGTGGCCCAAAAGAAGGGGAGGGGGGAAGTGCAGATGAAGTCAGCCTATCTGTTTGGTGACAGGAAGTTGGGGACACTCTTGAGGGTGGATTGTATGTGGGAAATAGAGTGAAGTCACCTGAGGAAGCTGCAGGGTGAAAAGATCAAAGACACCTGAATAGGTGTGAATGACCTTTGAGGGGAGCAAGAGGAAGCCACCAGGGAAACAGGGAAGGCACCTGCATAGCATCGCGTGCCAGCTGCCTTCTGTCTGCTCAGTGGTGTGGCTTTTCCAGCAGTCCTCAGCCGCTGGCTGTGGGCATGGGGAAGGTGGCCCAGGGTTAGCCAGGCCACGGGACACAAGGACAATGAGTTACTGGAGGTGAGTCACTGGCAAGTGAAGAGGTGAGGTCACTAGCCACTGAGCCCACATGCTGAGAAAGGAACAAGCAGGCCTGGTTGATAAGGAGAAAGGCCAGTGGTCAAGTGACCACTTGGATGAAAACAAGAAAATGTTGTGAGCTGTCTTAACTCATTGGATGAAGACTGTGTCAGCCACAGGCGTGGGTGGCTGAGGTGCGATGAAAGAGATCACCACTGGGGATGAAGAGGACAGGAAATGAGCATCCAGGGTGCCGAGTGGGCTGTGCAGGTGGCAAGTGAGGCCATCGCTGAGGATTGCAGGGCTTAAGTGGAGATCCGGGCCGTGAGTCAGGGCGCAACTGTCAGGACGGGTTCTGTTATGCGGCAGAAACTAGCAACCCAGACACTCCGGCTGAATGCAAGGGACGTGTATTTCTTTCCCTCACTATACGTTCAGTGTGGGTCAGCAGGGGAATTGTGCTTATCCTAGTCAGAGATCTAGACGGATAGAGGCTCCTTCCCTGTGCTTCCATGACCCCAAGGGCTGAGGCAAGCACAGTACTAGGGGCCTCCCACTGGCAAGTAAATGCTTCTACGTGGAAACAACTATCCCTTCCATGCATATTTTGCTGGCTAAAGAAAGTCACATGCTCACGCCTAATGGAGGAAAATGAGAATAATTGGAAACAGCCCTAATGATAATCATACAAGCCTAGGACATCTCAGAATTGGAAGAAGAGATGAGCAGATGTCAGCGATGGGAGGGAGGAGGGCCTGACAGTGGTAGCCTCAAAGGTGCTGGATTTTTACAGTGAGCGAGTGAAAAAAATAACAGTCCAGAAGAGGCCCTGGGAGCAAACGTGGCAGCTGGCTTTAGAATCATGGGATGAAGAGCCGTCATTGGAGCAGGTGCCTGGGGAGCACGTCCTTGGATCATGCGGGGAGCATGTCTCGGTCTAGGCCAGTGGGGAAGTAGACCCCCACAACAGCCCCAGAAGGAGAAGAAAAATAGCATAGTATGTGCCAGGCCCAGTGCCCAGCATTTTACAAACTTGAATTGTAGTCCCTACAACAACCCAGCAAGATAAGTGTTACTGTCCCCAGTTTTAGAGAGGAAAACAGAAGCTCCAAAGGGCCCCCAGCAGCCGAAGGTGCACAGCTAGGTAGGGGCAGTATGAGGACTAGAAAACCCTTGTGTGGCTCTCATGTAGTCCTTCAGGGAACCTGAGGTCCTCCCGCCTCCTCCCGTCTCACACTTGGGCTCCAGGGAAGCCCGGAATCTCAGACTGTCCAGCTGTGACCACTCAGGGTCCAGCTGGGGCTTCTCTCCAGCATCCTCCTGACTTAGTAAGGCCATCTGGTAGCCATTTTAGGTCCCTGTGCCTGAGGCCACAGGTGCAAGGAATGACCAGCAGACACCGGGCCTAGATTCCAGTAGCTGAGAGCATGAAAAGTGCCTGTGAATTCTTTCCTCCACTGTCTGCCAGCAGGCCCAAGGCCCGCTGGTCATTCACACATCGCTGGCCAGCAGGCCTCCCAGGCTGCTCTCTAAGGTTCATGAAGCACTTTCCCATTTGGAGTGGACTAGGACAGGGTGCACATTCCCATTTACAGATGAAGGGGAGAGCCGAAGATTATACCCTGGTAAGTGGCAGGGCCACTCACCTGTCCCCCTGACCCCAGCCTCAGAGGGCGGTGGCCACTGCTGTCTGCTGCTGGGGCCTTCACCAGGCTTAGTCTGGGTCCCAGTCCAGGTCTGGGCTGGGGCTGCAGGACTCCGGGATCCTACCCTCACCCTTAGGCCTGGGTCCTCTCTGGGCTCAGAACCTGGAGCCCACACTCTGTCCTGGAGACTCGGCGGGGACAGGTAGATAGGATGGGCCAGCCTGAGATGAGCATGAGTGGAGAGAAGAAGGAAGAGCTGGTGGAGGACACAGAGCAGGTGACGAGGGTGCAGACGGGGCTGTGCTGCTTGGGATTCATCATGGGCACTGCTCAGGAGACCCTGGGAAGAGATGCCTTATAACCTCAGCATCTATTCTATAGCAGGAAGGTAGGAAGTTTCAGCCCCATTTAACAAGCAAGGAAATTGAGTCACAGTGAAGTTATTTGCCCAGGGTCAGGGTACCAGAGTGGTGACACTGCCTTCCCAAGGACATCATGGTAAGTGGCAGGCCCAGGAGTTGAAACCAGGTCCCCACATTTGGGAAGTGGTTAGCTTCCTATGGAAAGAGAATCTGGGCCTCTTTACTACTAAGCAGCCCTGGAACCTGGGTTGGGGCTGGGGAACCCCAACATGCATATTCCCCAGTCCTTTCCAGGCATCGCCTACTTCAGGGCGACCCCACTGCCTACTGCTTCCCTTCCAGATGACATCCAGAGCTGAGAAGGGCTTGGCCCAAGGTCAGGGCTATGATTCCTGATCCCTCAGCAAAGCCACCTGCACCACCCCACCCATCCCTCTTCTACCCCAGGCCTGAGTTCAACTGCCCGTCTCTCTTGCCCAGCTCTGCCTTTTTAGGAAAGGAAAAGAGCAGCCCTGGGGCGGGCGGGCAGGCAGGCGGGTGGGCGGACACGCTAATCCACCTGCTCCCGGCGTCTCTAGTTACCCGTGGTTTGGGGCTGGGCAGCCCCAGCTGGGAGTGCCAGTCCAGCCAATGGGTGCTGCCAGCTGAGCTCTCCGCCAGAGCCATACAAGGCTTTGCCACAGCCCAGGCCTGAGCTGGCATACGGCAGCCCCAGCACCAGCGCCCGCCCCGCCCCTGAGCCTGCCAGCCCAGCACGTCCTCGGACTCTGCCTAATCCAGCCTGGGAGCAGATGGGGCTGCCATGCACGTGCACCAGGCCCAGGCCGCTCCAAGGTCAGGGAGGTAGCACCACCAGGGCAGAGACCAGAGTCAGGGCAGGGGCCTAGCTAGCCACGATGATCCTGGTGGGGGTCCAGGGTGATGACGCCTAGGCCTGGTCCAGGCTGTATCATCTCTTGACAGTGACCACCTAGCCTGCCTCCTCCACCTCTGAAGAGGTTCTCAGCAAAGCTAGTATCTGGCTCTTGCACCTTCTGGGGTCTTTCCAGGGATCAAGTCCCAACCCATTTAATCCACCCTGGGTTCAGACTGCATATTCCTCTCAAAAGTAGGGGTGTCCATTAGTGTGTGCCTATTGTG